CCTGCCACAAAGCCGGCATTGCAGTGTCGGGGTGCTGGGAGCTATTGGTCAATGCCCTGCCAGGTACCCAGACATGTAAGCGTGACAACTTCTCAATTAGGACCTCAAACCTATGCAACACCGCACAGTTCTGTTTTGGTTTTTATTTCCTACTAAACACTCCCAATGTACTAATCTGATGACTATATACCCTCAAATACCCTCATAGCAGAGCCGAGCATACAGAAGTATGCACACAGAGTTTTATGTCAACATACTCTGATGTCAAATAGATTTAATTGTTGAATCTATATTTATTGGGAGCCCCTAATGACTGTCTGAATAGCCTCTAGTAGTTGTGGGCATCTCATTTTGGTGCGTAGACTGTCCCTTTAAGATATATCAAAGGAGACACCAAAAGCTATTTCAACTGAGGACAAAGCTATTCAGTGGGTTGGTTCCTCATTAAAAAGCTCATTAGTGATGTCACTGTCCATTAATGTCTTGTAGCAAGGTAAGGTAGGACTCCATAGAGACTTACATCCTAAATACTACAAAACTGCGTGTTTGCCCAAGAACATGAAGCAGACATTATTACACTAACCTTAATTTTGTCATAATTTTTTTTTCAAAGATATATTAGTATCCTGCATTGGAATATGCTCAGATTCAATATATAAAACTGCAAATGTATTGTATTTGGAAATGTGGCTTTATTGCTGCATTGTTACTGACAGGAGTGATAGAATTTGGAAACAATATCTCAACCTGTGTTGAAGTTTGTAACGGAATCTTATGTTACCTTGGTACTTATTCTCACTGACTATGGGCCCTGGCCTAGAATGGGGTTTTGTTTTGGATAGCTAGGTACACGGGGGCCATTTGCACTGCTTTTCGTTTTAAATATACAAATATGTATGTTCCTGTTACACCCACTACCAAAACGGAGCCCAAGCAGCCACCGCTTGGAAGTTTAAACTCCCATCCCCCAGGTGTGATAGACACACCGGACCCCTCCAGGTCCAAGCACCCACGTCCTAGACCAAACCCCGACACCCTTCCCTAAAACCTTGACCCCATTTTGCCCTACAGCGAGAACAAGGCTCAACCCCGTAACTAAGCCTCCACAACTCTTAGCATCTCCCTCCCCAGCCTCCAATACCGACCACCATGAAACTATACACGCACAACGTTAAAGGACTTAACACGCCCCACAAAAGACGCATACTACTAGAAGATTTGAAACGCAATAAGGCAGAAATAGTCTGCATACAAGAAACGCATTTAGTTTCAAACCGCACCCCTACATTTGCCACAAGGGACTATACACACCAATTCCATGCAACCCACACCTCCAAATCAAGAGGAGTCTCTATTCTCCTCCATAACTACCTCACAGTCGAACCTCTCCAAACCAAAATTGATAGCCAGGGACGATTCATTATACTCCATTGCCTGATCAACAACAACCCACTCCTGCTAGTAGGCCTATACAGCCCAAACGACCACCAACACAATTTCCTACACAGAGTTCTCACAAAACTGCTGGCCGATACCAACGCCCCAGTATTAATATGTGGAGACCATACGATGGACTCACGCATAAACTCCACAGTCCCCTACACCTCAAACAGACACCTTATACTCAAACGTAGCAACAAAGCATTTGCAAAATTACTACACAACCATGGATTGTACGACGTCTGGAGAACACTCTAACCAACAGCCAGAGAATACACCTATTATTCACAAGTTCACAAGACTTACTCCAGAATTGACCACATCCTCTCATCAGGAACCCTTCTCCAACAAACCGAAGACTGTTCTATAGGAAACATAGTGTGGTCAGACCCCGCACCCATTTTACTGACACTACAAGACTAATACCAACATAGGGGAAAACCTCCATGGCGCCTCAATGATACGCTCTTGAACGACAACGCATTCGCACAGCAACTCACTCACCGACTACAAGACTATTTCGAACTAAATGACACCCCAGACGTTTCTGTGGCATCCCTATGGCAAGCTCATAAAGCGGTCATGAGGGGAACGCTAGTTAGCTGAGCATCTTACCTAAAACGCAAGCGAGAAAAGGAGCACATAGACCTCTTGAGGAAACTCCGAGATACAACAAATGCTCACCTTCTGAAACCCTCTGATACACACACTGGCACCATTAAACATATAACCAGTCAAATTAACCACTTGAACCTTGACAAAACAGCTAACATGCTCACCAAACTAAAAATGAAAACGTACACCCAAGGCAACAAAGCCGGGAAACACCTAGCATTGATGCTAAAACAAAAACAAGCAAACTCCAAGATCCCATACCTGATAGCAAAAACAGGGGAGAAACTTCTTAACCCACAAGATATTAATGATGAGATGTACAACCTAAACCTGTACAACCTAAAAAGCGACACAACTGTGCACCAACCTACGGAACATGAAATAGACACCTTCCTCCAAAGGACGACACTACCAACGCTTCAATGACCCAAGCACAAGCCATACACAAGAAATTTTAGAAACAATACAGGCACTCCCACCAGGTAAATCACCAGGCCCGGATGGCCTAACTAATTTATATTACAAACAATTTGCATCAATCTTAGCCCCTTATCTACGGAAATTGTTCACTCACATTCTTAACACGGGAACTATGCCGCAGGAAATGCTGATGGCACATGTTGCCACCCTCCCGAAAACAGGGAAACCACCGGACAGGAGCCAGAACCTCCGCCCTATATCCTTACTGAATACGGACGTGAAGCTCATCGCAAAAATTTTCTCAAACAGACTAGCACCCGTCATTCCGACCTTAATTAGAGGGGACCAGGTGGGGTTTGTGGGAGGTAGGCAGGGAGCAGATGGCACATGCAAAATCCTAAACATGCTACACGGGCTGCGGGGAGGGAGGGTCCCAACTGTACTACTCTCCTTAGACGCAGAAAAAGCCTTCAACAGGCTCCACTGGCCCTTCCTCCTCGCGGTCCTCCGAAAATTAGATTTCCCGCCCCAATTCATATCAATAGTCACAGCGCTATACTCAGCCCCAACAGCTCGGGTAGTAAATGGGGGATTCATATCCAAACCATTCTCTATTTGAAATGGCTCTAGACAGGGCTGCCCACTCCCCCCCTACTCTACATACTATCATTAGAACCCCTAACACAACTAATAAGAGACGACCCAAATATCCACGGAGTCACACTCAAGGGTCAAGAATACAATTTATCCCTATTTGCCGACGACATCCTTCTCAAATTAGATCAACCCCATATATCCCTCCCGAATTTCCACCAACTACTCACCCAATACAGCCGCTGCTCCTATTACAAATTAAATATCGCAAAAACCCTAGCCCTGGGGATCAACGTTCCAGTAAAAGACATGGCGCAATTAAAAACCAACTTCACATATGACTGGAGGCATGATCACATAAAACTTCTGGGAGTAAACTTCACACCCACACCTAACACGCTATTTAAAGCAAACTATATCAAGCTGCTTGTTGAAATCAGAACACTTCTGCAGAGCTGGAAGGGGAAATTCATCTCCTGGGGAGGCAGAATACCTTCCGTGAAAATGGTTGTTTTACCTAAAATCCAATATCTATTCAGAACATTACCGATTCAACTCCTGCACAAATATATCCAGGACCTGCAAAACCTTCTACATGACTACATCTGGGAGGACAAGAAGCCCCGAGTGACGAAGACAAAAATGTACCGAACATTCCCCAAAGGCGGGATGGGTCTGCCAGATATAATGGGATACTACAGAGCAACCCACATAGCATCTTTACTAGCATCACAGCAACAGCACGAACCAATGGCATGGACTGAGATGGAAAAGAATTATGCAAATGGTCTATACATCTCAGCATCAGCCTGGCTGCCTAAAACCCAAAGACCAAAACTCGCTGAAATGCTGCCCACAACCAGGCTCACCATCTCAATATGTGACAACTACCAGAAACGTATGGGCAACAATGTCCTATTATCCCATGCCTTCCCACTGGAATCGATGAAACTCCTCATACAGGACTTTAACTACAAACATTGGCATAGACACGGCATAAAAACGTTCTCACAGCTACTACAAGGCTCCCACCTGAAGCCATTCCCAGACCTCCAGCTCGAATACATGCTACCCATCACAGCTATGTTTTCATATAGACAACTACATTCCTGGCATGCCCTGCAACCGAAACAGACGCTCACCCATGACACAGACCCAAGCTGGAATACTATTGAACAAATCTGCACAACAGCCAAACCAGCCAAAAAACTTATCTCAATCACCTACACATCAGAAAACCTTCGACCCCAACAGCACCCCCCCCCCCTCCTTCATAATTGCATGGGAAAAAGACATTGGACACCAACTCTCCAAAGAACAGTGGCGCACTATCTTCAAGGCACACAAACAGCTCACTCTATGCATGACCCACTTGGAATTAACCCGCAAAATCTTACACAAATGGTACTTAATCCCCACACGCCTTAAACACAGCTTCCCCGCCACATCAGATATCTGCTGGAGATGCCAGAGAGACAGGGGCACTCTGTATATGCTACATATATGGTGGCAGTGTACGGAGCTTCATCAATTCTGGCAACAGACTGCGAATCTTATCACTAAATGCACGGGCACTCAGCTACCATTCAAACCTGAAGTATTCCTTCTCCTCCTGTTACCAAAGGCAACGCACAAGCACCAGACATACCTCACCTACCATATCATCATAGCCGCTCTCACTAGCATTAGTAGGAAATGGAAGAAAACCACCCCCACCCCCACAATAACTCAATGCATCGCAGTTATTGACACCAACAAAACATATGAAACCATGGCCAGATGCACAAAACAAGCAGCCCCATACTGGCCTAAAGCATGGGAAACCTGGGAAAAACATAAACCTAATTAAACCTACTTAATGCAGACTACAGGCAAATATAGTAATACAATTAAACCTCCTCGACACAAGGCAATACACGAGTCATCTCTCCCACTGACACCCGCTTCGAATAGAGGCCAACCACAAAACACGGCCACATTATCAGTAGCCTTCTCTGCTGCTACCCCTTAACTCTTTCCTCTCTCTCCCACCCCCACCATGGCCCATCGAGGACAATGACACGCACTGTAGCTCAGACCATAAAAACCCTAACGACACCCTCTTATGGGATACGACAGTGCAAGGATAAGGGCACTAAACTACATGAACCACAATGACGCACTAATAGATACAATGACACAATCAATGTAATGCATGTACTACAATGTGAACCAATTTGAGATGCTGTTTGACCACACGATGTTAAAAAAATGACCAGCTCATCACTGTACCATGGTAGGGCTCCCCCACCCCCTTCCCCCTGATTACATTTGTACCTTTACCCGACTCACAAGCATACTGCAATTATAAAAAACGTTTTTTTCTCCCCCTCCAACCTCTTTTCTGTACCCTCATGACGAATTGAAAACCAATAAAAATTGTCAAATTCAAAAAAAAATACTCATATTATAAGATCGAGATATATTTTATGTGCGTGCGTTTGTGTGCGTGAGAGTGACTGCTT